ATATATATATATATATATATATATATGACTAAACGATATGAGAATAAGAATAGTGATGTCTAGAAGAACCTGGTAATAAAAGCATGTATGTTCCACAGCGATTCTCAGTACGTCAGTAGATAGGCGACTGGCTTGTTCAAGGATGGTAGTCCTGGTACCACCTGCTTCTCCGGTTGTCCAGCTGTCCGGGCCACCCGACACACTAAGAGCGGCGCCTGAATTGCAGTAGGTATAACTGTGATTAGGAGTAAAATTTGTGTTTGAACCATTTGCCATAATGAGACTGTTCGCCTGCAGAGTTTGTAGATTTGTAGCCTGGAGTCCAGGAGGCCGATTTGGATCAAAGTCATATGGTTCACCGGGATAGCGCTGAGTCCAAAGACGACGCGCTTTGTCTCGTGCTTGCTTTCCTCTGGCCCGTGAGACTAGCCGATGTTCCACCAGCTTTCCACAGAGCCTATGTATAACGAAATGAAAAAGTTAAAAGAGACAACATTTGAAATCAACTATGCGAAATATGACATATCGAAAAATATATTTCAAAATTATCTGTATTTCTTAAATATAGTTTCGAAACCGAATTGTATAGGCAAAGAAACTTTTTCTTTGTTGACATCAGTGTAAAAAATGTGAATATTTTAAGGCCTGGAATGCCCTACAGGTCATATTAACTCTGTGGCCTACTATTGTTTAAGGTTGGGTGAAGGAGCCATAGGTCAGCCACTTTACATTAAAGCCCGAAGAATGAGACCTATAAAAATAAAAAATTGCAGTCATTCTTGGACACAAAAACCTTCTGGAAGGCAGCACTATCAAAATTTAACGAGATTGTGAGTCCTGCATATATTATTGTAGAATTCTCATATATCAGGGCTTCCACTACATTAAACAACAAAAAATTATTTCGGTTCTTTTTAGCAACTAATATGTCACACTATGTGTATTTTAAGCGACGTGGATTTTTTCTCTGATGTACGAGTCATCAGCTTCTCATACTTTTACCTCATGGCTTAACATATCAACAAAGCATTTCCAAAATAAATGTTGTTTACCTTCCCCTTTAATAATCTCGCGTCATTAAATGCTCAGTTGAGATAAAAAGCAGAGTGTAAAGTATACGTGGCTTTTATATCATTGCTTAAATTATATATGCATATTGTTGTAAGGCTGCATCAGGCATGAATTCAAGGTTCAAGGGCTGCCTGAAACATTTTGTATATGATGATGAAGTGAGTATTTTGAAATCTAAATTACTTCACTGAAGGGAAGCTATGCCTCCAACTGTCTACTGTCACCCAAAAATTGATAAAGAATGGGTATTGCAGGATTATTGTAATTAAGGAAGTTAATGGGAAGTATAACATTACGTGATTTATTTGCATCTACGTAAATAAGACATCTGAATCATTGCCGATTACAGTAGGGAATTCTTGCACCTTCGTTGAGCTTGTATATAAGCATGCGATAGAAAAAAATAATTTGCCTTTGCTTGTCGATATAGAATTTGTACACACTAATATTCCGGTACATGGAGAAGGATATGCTTTAAATTCTCAATTAGATCAGTATCCATTGATAACAATGAATAAAGATTTAAACAATTAGTAGTTGGCAATCACGAATTATCTGAAATGATTACCTGCAGCAAAAATAACGAGATTTAGCTGTAGGATAACGAGGATCTCTATTATTAGCTACTACTTGCATGCTCAATTCAATTTTGGTCCAGTAAAAATTGATTAAAGTAAATTTACCTGAGAGAATTCCCATTTAGCTCGATTGATAACCACTCAATATACTTGGATACATAAGCAGAAGAAACGCATATATGGGTGAGATGGTGAGATGTATTACTGTACCATGTTACTGATATTGTTTTCCTGTCAGTTTGCAATAAAAACAAGCTAACTATTTAAGAAGCACGATATTTAAATTCTTTATGGGTCCAGATATCAGAAGCAGCTAAGTGTATAGCCTGAAACAGAATAACGGCTAGAACGGTATAAAATCGAAAGTATTTCAGGATTTGGAGTCACAAGGTTGGTAGATCCAAAGATAAATATCATTTATTTTTCAGTATATTATCGATTTTGATAATTTATTAGGTCACAAATATTTATTACTCTTCAAAGTTTTTACAGCATATAGAGGTAAGTTCTAGTTGCATATAGAATTGATAATATAGCATGTGCCAAAGGATGCCTTATTTGTTAAGAATTTACCAATGGGCTACATGCGTGAGCAAAGCTAAGTTCTATGGTGGCCTTTTATTTAAGATACATTATTTATTAATATATAGATAATTAGATTGGTTTTAGAATAAATATTGGGCTTATTATTAAATGAGCATCCAAATGGAAGATATTTAAAGTGTAATTTGAGTAATTCTCAAACTCTTATTCATATTACTTAATGTGTCTTTTATAAAAATATTATAACGAATAGGAATCACTCTTGCTCTTTTTATAGTATGGATTTATGTAATCATGTATTCTCTAATCTCGTAATCCTTTGGATTGCAAAATCGTGAAAACCGGTTCAAGGTGAACTAATTGTTTTTCAGTATAAAACTGGCATTATGAGTTTATGCTTGAATTTGAAGACAGATATTTCAGACTCTCCATTAGAAGCTAAAATTCAATTGAATATTTTTTCCTATACCTAATAATTACCAGCTTGAGTAAGCTAGATTAAATTACATGCATATGCCATGAACGGATTAATCTGACATCGACTAATTGATTTAGAAATTCACTAAAAAAGTAGATATTTTCATTAATGAAATATCTCTAAAACAATTACTTTACTTCAGATCAAAACTTGACAGAAATTTATTTGGCTCTAGACGGCTATAAAGTATATTCATTACAATAGACATTAAATGCCGCTGAAAAGCTCTCTTAAGGTGGGAGTATATGAGCAACCAGTTAATATTTTTGTATATAATTAGGAAGTCTGACGATAAAGGTCATATATTAGATTCTTGCAAAACAAGCACTAATAAAATAAAACCAAAACATATGCATAGTAAGGTTTGCTCAGATTTGCTTGGAAATTGTTCAAAAAATTTAAAATTAATTCATATGAAGTTTATATTTGTAATGTGTGCTAAATCTAATTAATTAAAGGTTG